TGTCATGTTATAGTTGAATTTTTGCAAAAATTATTTAACTGGGTTAAAGTGAGGTTTAAGGGATGATATCTGGTGAATATGTGTGTATTTCTTGGTGTACTTTGAGGTGGCAAAGTTTTTTTGAAAATGGCTGAGTACTTTTTGAAAAGATCCGGTAGTTATAAATTTAAGTCAGTTTTCGCGGCAGCACCCAACCGAGTCTTGTTTGAATATTTTTCTAGCTTGGTAGACTTTCTATTTACTTGTCACAATGTTTTGCATGTTATATGGGTTCTAAGTGATGTTATGTGGTTTTTCGAGTCTAGTTGGTTAAGCCGAGGTTCCAAACTCTATTAGGAATTTCCACGAATCACATAGTCGATACGGTTTCGGCTAAGTAAATGTTATGGTATGTGCTTTAAGTGGTGGAATAGTTATTGATAGGAACATAATGATTATGTAGGAGTCCGAGGAGTCGAGCCCTCTACCTACATCTCTGTTTGGTGTGTGATTCTCCACTTCGGTATCCAGGTGGGTTTTATTTGAAAATTTGCTATGCCATAAATAATTTATTTGTTGTTGGGTTGGTATGATCAATGCATGCTTGTAAATTTGTGTAACCTTCGATGTGAGCTGGATGTCCTTCGAATGGTTGTCCCCGTCGTTGAGAGTTGTATGTCCTTCGACGGTGCCTTGTAAGGCAGTCTCCCTAAGTCCTAATGATAGGCCATACCGTTGAGAGCTGTATGTCCTTCGGTATGCACTCTCATTGTTGAGAGTTGTGTGTCCTTCAATGGCTAATGATAGATGTGCACATGAGTGAGATTATTGGTGTATTGATTGGAGATGTGACATGTTGAATTGATTTATAATCATGTTGTGACCATACCCTTTGTTATATTATGTTATTATTTACGTGCATAGTGGTGAGCACCAAGGTTTCATTTGTGCTCATCTCCACCTGCTCTTCATGGATGCATGTTAGTAAGTGCAGGCACGACAGAGGGATGTGAGTGGTAGTCGGTCATTGATGACCAACTTATTATTTGATATTGCTTCCGCTTGTTGAACTGATTATTGTTACAATTGAGTATTGACGATTGATGATTTATGAATGATGATTGAGATGCTTGTTGAATATTGATGTA